GGGGGGCGCCCTGGCTCTGATCCCCCCCTCTCCCCCCGCAGGCTACGGCACCGCCGTCCGCGCCGACCAATGCGCCTTCCACAGCTCCGTGAAGCTGGACGAGTTCGAGAGCAGCCGCATCCTGAAGGTCACCCCCAGCCAAGGGGAGGTGAGCCCCACGGCCTGCCCTGAACCCCCTCTGCAGCCCCATGGCCTGCAGCTGGGCGCCCGGTGTGGGGACAGGGGGAGGTGAGCCCCACGACCTGCAGCTGGGCGCTTGGCCCCCGGTGTGGGGTGGGGACCGGGGGAAGTGAGCCCCACGGCCTGACCCCGCTCTGCTCTCCCCAGCTGCCGGTGATGCAGTACCAGCTGTCAGACGACATCCCCTGCACCCTGCCCTTCCACCTCTTCCCCACGCTGGAGCGGGACCCCACGGGCAGGTGAGTGAGGGGGGCATCCGGGAGCACAACGCCCCTCGGCCCAGCCCCTCGGCCCTCACCCTTCCCATCTCCCCACAGGCTCCGCGTCTACCTCAAGCTCCGCTGTGACCTGGCTCCCAAAAGGTAAGAGCCCGGGGAGCTGGGAGGCTCCCTGGGGTGCGGACGGCCCCTGCCAGCCATGCCCCCCCCCCCACCCCAGCAGGCTCCCAGGCTGCGGGGAGACGCTGCCGGGTGCCCCCCCCGGCCTCAGTTCACCGCTTTCTCTTCCCTCCAGCCAGGCCCTGAACGTGCGAGTCCAGCTGCCGGTGCCAAAGGGGGTCGTCAGGTGGGTGACAGGGGCTCCGGGCGGGGCTCCCCTCTAGTACCGGGGGCTGCATCCTGGGGGGGCAGCGTTAGGGGCAGGCCTGGCCCCACCCCTGACTCTCTCCTCTCCCCCAGCCTGTCCCAGGAGCTGAGCAGCCCGGAGCAGAGCGCCGAGCTGCAGCCCAGCATCAAGGCCATTCGCTGGGTGATCCCGCGCGTCCAGGGGGGCTCCCAACTCTCCGCCCTCTTCAAGGTAAAGCCGGCCTGGGGCACGGAGGGGGGAGACGGCCCCGGGCCAGGGGGATGCACCCCTGTGCTGGTTAGAGGGAGCAGAGCCCCTGCCCTCTGGAAGGAGGATGAGCTCTGGGGCAGAGGTGTTGATGAGCAGGCTGGGTCTCTGACATCTATGCTAGGGTCTGAGGGTGCCAACCCCACCCCACAGAAGGGGGGGGGCGTGTCGTGCTCTGCCCCGGACAATAACCCCCGCGCTTTCCCTGCAGCTGGAGATCCCAGGGCTGAGCAGCTCCTCGCTGCTGGAAGTGGGGCCGGTGAACATGTCCTTCGAGCTGCCCATGCACACCTGCTCCGGCTTGCAGATCCGCTTCCTGCGCTTCACGGCCCCACAGGCCGGACTGCCACACCGCTGGGTGCGCTACGTGTCCCACAGCGACTCCTATGTCCTCCGCCTCTGAGCCCGGCCCCACCGCTGGGTGCGCTACGTGGCCCACAGCGACTCCTACGTCATCCGCCTCTGAGCCCAGCCCCACCACTGGGTGCGCTACGTGTCCCACACCGACTCCTACGTCGTCCGCCTCTGAGCCCAGCCCCACCGCTGGGTGCGCTACGTGTCCCACAGCGACTCCTACGTCATCCGCCTCTGAGCCCGGCCCCACCGCTGGGTGCGCTACGTGTCCCATGGCGACTCCTACGTCCTCCGCCTCTGAACCCAGCCCCACCACTGGGTGCGCTACGTGTCCCACACCGACTCCTACGTCGTCCGC